TGGTGGTGGGGTGGGGTAGCGGATCTAACCACCCAGCCGCATGGCCTCGCCTCCGGGAAGCCTTCCTCGCCTACGGTTTGCTCTGGAAGCTATAAAACACACCGTCTGGCATACGCTATTGCTGGGTCCTTATGACTGTCGGTCCCCCCGATTCCAGGTATTCTAAATTCCATTCTGCAGATGGGGTTCCTGAGGCCTGAAGGGTCCATGTGGACCAAAGAGACAGGCAGAGGGTGGGAGCCGGGGTGGGAGCAGGGGTGGGAGCCAGGGTGGGAGCCTGGGGTGGGAGCCGGGGAAGGAGCAGAGGGTGGGAGCAGGGAGTGGGAGCCGCTGGGGCCTCCTAAGTTCTTCCACTCCAACCCCAACCTCTCCGTTCCCGGCCTTGCTTGTTCTCAGATTCCTCCTGATCTCCGTCCGCGCCCAAACCCAGCTGGCCCACAGCCTTCCCCGCCACCGCCTTGGGTGATGCCGCACAGGCACGTACCCAATGCCTGGACGGGCCTGGTGCTGCTGTCTGGGACACCTGGAGCAGAGAATTCCAGCAGGAAGGAGGCTCGAAGGATGATGCTCAGGGCTGTCGTAGTGAGCCAGGCTAGAGTGAACTTGGGATGGGAAGGGCGTCCTGGCCAGGGGAACAGCATGTGCAAAGAGCGAGGGAGAGGGTGTAGCGCGCTCAGGGAGGAACAGTGAATGGTTCAGGTGGGCCCGAGCCTGGGGCGTGGACAGTGCTTGGGCTGTGGACCTGTGGGCCAGGCCGAGGAGCTGGGGTTCCGGCCTGTGGGGGAGGAGGCCGGCCAGGGACAGGGGAAGTTGTCTAGTCAGCCTAGGAGCATCTCTGCAGTCGGGTGCCTTCTCTGAGGCTGTTCGCCCCTCTGCACAGTCGGGGGCCCCCCAGGCCCCGTGTGGGCCAGCTCATGGCCGCTACAGTCCTAATAAGCACAGAGGTCCTCCGGGTAGACATGGAACATCTTTAATGCCCACTTCTCTGTGCCACGCACGGCTCTGCTCTGTGAAGTTCTGCCGGCTCTCCGGAGGCACAGGCCCAGCGCCCGGTCACAGGGGAGCCTGGGCTACCATGCTTTTCTTTACCTTCAAGCCCTTCGTCTTGTGGAGCCCCGTCCAGAGCGGGCTGTCCTCATGGGCCTGGGCCCGGGCGTGACCCAACCCTGAGGGTGGCGGCACGAGGGGCACCACCCTGGCCGTCGGCATCCGTGGCAACGGCTCCTCCGAGGCCCAGGCCGAGGCCCGGGGCAGCTCCTCGGGGTCCAGGTCGGCATCGCTCCAGCCCTCAGAGCTATCGCTAAGGCCGTCGGGACCTGTGGCTTCGTCCTCAGATAGAGTGGCCATGTCGGCCACGTCCTCGCTGAGGTTGCTGCCAAACTCGCCCGCCATGCAGTCGGCCGGATCCTTGAACTTGCCGTCTGTGGAGACGTCGGCCACGTCCTCCGGCCTCTGCTCGGGGCTGGCTGCAGGGGCGTTGCTGAGCCCCGCCGCCGGCCGGCCGGGCGTCTTGGCTCTGACCTGGCCAGTCCAGAAAAGCGTGAACTCCTGGCGGCAGGCAGCCACAGCCAGGCTGGTGAGCAGGGTGCTGGACACCAGGTAGAGCAGGGCAGGCTGGCCCATCTTCATGAGGACCATGGCGATAAAAGTGACCAGCAGGCCCACGGCGTAGGCCACGATGCAAGCCACGAAGTAGACCTGGCGGGAGCGGATTTGCACATCGAAGCGGTGACAGTAAGCCACCAGGAAGCCAGGGACCACGATGTCACCGAAGCCGAGGATGGAGAAGGGCTGATCGCACAGGGTCAGGACCGAGAAGCTTAGCCGGGGCGCTTTGAGCACCATGGGCAGCCTCTCGTGGCTGGAGGAATCTGCCGGGCCCGAGGCCACCTCCACCATGATGCTCTCGCCCGACTTGGTGAGGAGGGGCGTGACGAAGACGAAGAAGACGTCGAAGGCCAGCAGGGCCAGCAGGAAGGACGTGCAGTTCTTGAGTGTGGGCAGCCGCACCCGCCGCAGCACGAAGAGGCAGTAGGCCACCCCCAGGAGGTCCTGCAGCAGCCAGGCCCAGCGGTCCTCGTTGCGGTAGGCCACCCAGAGGGCGGTCACCAGGGAGCACAGGCCGGCCAGCAGCAGCAGGGGCAGCTGCAGACGGGCCCGGCGGCCAGGCAGGGACCACTGGCATCGCGGCAGGGGCAGGTGGGCCACCAGGGGCGCCAGGCAGCTGTAGAGGCCGGTGCCCGCGCCCAGGCCGAAGATGGCGATCATGACGTAGACGAAGCAGTCGTAGAAGAAGTAGAGCAGCAGCATGATGGAGCAGGACATGGTGACCACCGCGCTCGTCATGGCCGGCGTGAAGTCCACGGGCAGGTCCTCGTCCTCTTCCTCCTGGCCACGCGGGGCCGCTGCAGCCTCCAGCCGGTGGTGCCCGCCGGGCCCCCCTCCTCCTCGGGCCCGGCGCCGTTGCAGCTGGTCAGCCTCGGTCAGGCCGGCCCAGTAGCCGCCCGCGGCCACCGTGCCGACGGCCAGGATGAAGATGATGACCATGTTGTAGTCCAGGATGGGCTCCGGGGGCGCGTACAGGGCCACCTGGACCCAGGCGCTGCCGTGCGTGTGACTGAAGATGTCCAGCATGTCCGTGTAGCGGAGCACAGCCACGGGGATGGACAGGTCTGGCAGGGGGTTCCGGGGGGGCTGCGACACCAGGGTGGTGTCCGAGCACTGCTGGCCGCTGACCCGGCTCACGATGAGCAGCCCGTGGGCGCCCCGGCCCTGCGCCAGCCAGCCCTTGGCGTAGAAGCTACAGTTGCCCCTCATGACCATGGCGGTGGTCTGGCGGAGGGGCCGCAGGCCGGGGGAGCCGGCGGGGGCCCGGGGGGCGGCGGCCTCGCCCGGGCACCAGGGCGCCATGGTGCCGTCGTGCAGGGGCAAGAGGGGGGCGTGGTGCAGGTCCCGGGGCAGGGTGACGTAGTCGGAGCTGAGCAGGACGCAGTAGTCCTTGCTCCAGTTCTCCGACACCACGTGGACCACGCCGTACTCCCCCCGGGCCACGGTGCCGGGCAGGAGGAGGAGGAGGAGCAGGAGGAGGGACCCCGGGCTTGCCATCCTCCTGGTCCACCTACTGCCGCCACCCAGTGTGGCAGCTGCTCGCAGCCCAGGTTCCCCTCCCAGGGCGGGGTGTGGCCCTCTGTCACAGAGCGGCTTGGCCCCCCATCTTGGAAACCAGGGCCACACCTATCTGGTCACAAAGCTGTGCCAGCCCAGCGCAGGGTACTGCCAGGATGGGTGCAGGCTCCTGCCCTGGCCCACGCCGGACCTGGACCAGGCGACTAAGCAGCAGCTGGAAAAGGGCGCTGAGGATTCTGCACCGAGTCTGCGCCTTACCCAAGGGGCAACTGGGGGCTGCTCTCCTCCGCGTGGCAAGGCAATGAGAGCCCTGGACTGCGGTTTCTGGGGTCCCGCAGCCCCACTCAGTGACGTGAGCACTCGCCAAGTGTGTGCTCGCCCCTGCAAGCCGGTGCCGCAACGAGCCAGCGGCCGGCCGCCTGCTGTCCTGGAGAGCTCCTTCCTTCTCCTTTCCACCTTCGCACGCTCAGGGCTTCATCCCCCGCCTCCCTTGGAGTTGGGCGTGGACACTTGGCCACGTTCTCGCCGGGAGAGAAGCGTAAAGAAGGGTGGCCGCCGGCCTATCTCGCTTCCTTGCGAGCCGGCCACGGACAGCCACTGGCTGTGGAGCGCACTGTCGTGGGGGTGCCACCGTGGCCGGGTGCGCGCTGGGCTGCCCTTGAGGGCATGCTGTCTCCTGGGATCTCCAGGCTTAGGGCGGGCCTCTCTGCCAGGACAGTCTGACCTTGCCCCACACCCCACTTTAAGCTGGAGCAAACCTGGAGCTCAGAATCCTGCCCAGGCCGGGCCCTGTCCCCCACCAGCTCTTGGCCTTGCCCTGTCCAGGCGGCAGCCAGGGGCTCTCTGACCCCTTAAGGCCTCCTGGACCTGCTGCTCTGCCTTCTGCCCAGAGGGCAGTTCCTGCCCGATGTCAGTCACCCCCGCCCCCCACAAACCCTTCTGAGTATGCTCGGCCATTCTCGTGCGTCACAGCACTCACCCCGTCTCAGGGTTCTCCCCTCTCTCCTGCAGGCCGAGCTCCTTGAGGGCAGGATCTATTTCTTTTTTAATCTTTATTTATGCACACAAGAGCTGGGGTACAGGCCAGAAGTGTGGGGGTGAGAGGATTCAGCAGAGACAGAGTGGGGAGCAGAACAGGCAGATCCACTGAAGCACACTGCCGAGGGGAGCAGGGTGACAGGAGAGGCCGGCCGCACCCTATGGGTCACCTCCAGGCCGGGGATCGAACCCCCACTGCAGTGGCTGCGAGAGCTTCTCAGTGCTGTGCTTTAACCCGCTGCGCCACCCCCGGGCCCACCCCCTGGGACGTGGGCGTGGAAATCGTGCTCCAGAAGCTGCTTTGTGGCGCCGAGGGAGGGACCCAGCTTCACGGCAGGAAGTGCCCGGCTGCAGGGCAGTGAAGGGGCTCTTGGGTGGTGCACGCGGGGCTGGAACCCAGGCTGCGGGGGTGCTCGGCCAGCGCGGCTCCGCTCCCCTCTCCGCCCTGTGTCTCTGCATCATGTCCCATCGGGGCCGGCCTGTGACCACCTCTGAACTCAGTGACTCTAAGGCCTGTTCCGGATAAGGCGGTCACAGGGGCTGGAGCAGGGCGCCAACTTGACAGCTGGAGAAACAATTTGGCGTCGAGATCCAGGCCGTTGGTGCGGTCGCGGGTCTTCCTGGATGCCGCTCCTTCGGCTAGACCCATCGGCCTCGCCACCCACAGGGCCACCTTCCCGCGAAGTCGCACCGTGAGGCCGGGAGGGCCAGCCCAGGGGACCCTGCGGAGCGCGGGCACGTGGCGCTTCGGCGGCCTGGAAATCTCTTCCCATGCAGTCACGCCTTGGTCTGGCCCGGTTTGACGACTCCGCTGACTCAGAGCGTGTCTTTCCAGACATTCAGCTGACCATCTCCCTGGATGGTGCACTCCTGCTCCCTCAGCCATTAGAATAGCATTTAACGAGATTACAAACGGTAATTAAGATGCCAAGCTCGCTGTCAGAAATCCCTTAGGGAAGACGCACTGACTGGAGACACAGAAGAGGCAGGGTCCAGGGAGGAGGCTGCCCGCTGCCCCACGGGGTCCCGGTGCGGAAGGTGAGGTGTCTGGAGAGGGCGAATCTGCACCCTCAATCTTATAATGTGCCCTAAGCCAACATTAGTTCAATTTACAAAAAAATCAAAATGAGGACCCTCGCTAGTCCCTCCCTGCAGATCTCATTTTAGTCCTATAAATGTCCAGCTCCAATTTGGGGTTCAGGAAACACAGGCACCCCAAACAGATCCTGCTCCTGCTCTTTCTCCCCGATCTACCTGTGGGCTCCTGGTGTCCTGGACTCAGGTATCTCTGGAGGTTCACTTCCTCGGAGGCGCTTCTGGGCCCTGCTCACGAGGCTGGCTGTGTCGGTCCAGCTGCTTCCTCAGATGCCCCTTCCCACCTCTGAGCCCCCAGCCCCCAGCCCCCAGCCCCCAGCCCACCAGCCCTGGCACTGCTCTTCCCCGAGGGCTGGTGCTCACAGCCCTGTTCGGTGAGTGGCCAGGCCTGGGGGCTCCCTCCTGGCCGGTCGGGACTCTGCCTCAAGCGCCTGCCGCACCCCCCTTTCCTTAGGGGTGTCCCCCGACTCTGCAGCTTCTACTCTCTCCGCTCCCTTCCTGCCGCCCCCGCCGCCGTGGTCTGGGCTCTCAGGGCCGCAGTGCAGGGCAGGCCAGGGGCAGTGTCTCCTGCCATTGGAGACAGGTGGCAGCTGGGGCCTGTGCCTGCAGCCTCTGGCCAAAGGCAGCCCCAGGGAGCAGGCAGCCCCTGGTGTGTGCAGGCAGCTGCTGGCTCGGGATGGCGTGGGGTGAGAGGTGGAGGGAGAAGGGTGTGAGTGCCCTCCCAGGCTCCTCTGAGGTACATAGAGCACCCCGCCTGGTACGGTGTGGAGACCCAGCAGCCGGGCGCCAGGCAGGCACCGCCAGGGTGGCAGCTGCTTCTGCAGACAGTGGGGGGAACATGGAGATGACCCTGAGAAGCCTGGAGTGGGGCTGGAGAAGGGGCAGTGACCCAGCTGGGGCCTTCAAGGCCCCTTCTCTATGCAGCCCCTCATGGAGCGCCCAGGCCCTCTCAGGCGCCCCCACCCCGGGACGCCCCCCGCCCTCCACAGCCCACATCGCCTGGGACGGGTCCGTTTCTCACTCTCCTCCTCAGTCCCCATGGTCATTTGAGACCCCTCAGTCACTCTGGCCCCTCCTGTCAGCCAGGACACTTCACGGGGCTCCCCCAAGCCCCAGTTGCTGGAAACTGTCATCCTCGCTGTCCTGGTTCCCACCCCACATTCTCCTGTGCTCAGTGCTCCCCTGTCATGGGATGGAGTTCGGAGCCGGCAGAGCAGGGTACCCCCCATGGCCTGCAAGGACACCTACAGCTCCCCTGCGGGGCCGCACCCTCTCCCACAGCCCTCCCTCCTGCAGGGGTGCTCCGGCCGTCCTGGCCGCACACCCCTTGCGCACACGTGCATGTCAGGTCCTGCCTGGCCAGACACCAGAGGCAAGGCCTCAGGGGAAGGGTGTCCTAGAGGGACTCTGCAGGGTCTCGTGGCCCCCACCCCACTCCGGCTTTCTGGACTCCCCCACTCCGGCTTTCTGGACTCCCCCCTACTCCAGTGATTGGCAACTACAACTGCCAGCAGTGCCAGGGAGGTACTGTGAGGACCCAAGGGCGGAGCTAAGCAGGCATTAGGGACTTTGGGGGATAAATAGGGAGCCGTTTGCAGTTACGGTACGCTCTTGCTCTGGCAACAGCCTTCCCACCGGGTCTTTCAGTTAGTTTGTGACTAGAGCCCCAAGTCAGCTGAGTGGGTAAGATATTCCAGTTACCTTGTATCCCTCTCTTTCCCTGGGTCGTTTCCTTTTCCTTTCCTCTTTTGTAAATAAACCCATTATTGACCCTTTTGTGTGCTTGCAGAACAATTAAATTTTAAGCGCACAGGTGAGGACCCACCCATAGACAGGCGCCCGGCTCACACCAGGGTGCCCTGTAACAAGGGGACTTGTCCTCAAGCCTCAGCAGTGGGACGAAGCTCCAGCCGCTGCAGGGGTGCTGGCGTGGGCACCCTCGCTTCCTGCCCCTCCCACCCCACCCACTTCCTGCGCGTCCTCCCCAGGTCCGAGCTCAGAATCCTGTTCCCCCAAGGATGCTTCTGGGTACCCCAAGCTGAGACAGCATTCCCAGCTCTACTTGCTGGTCCCAGCTCAGCTCCCCTCCGGGCTGGGTCTCCCTGGGTACCCCCCACCCTGGTCTCAGCTCAGCTCCCCTCCGGGCTGGGCGCCCCCACCCTGGTCCCAGCTGAGCTCCCCTCCGGGCTGGGCCCCCCCACCCTGGTCCCAGCTGAGCTCCCCTCCGGGCTGGGTGGCCCCCACCCTGCTCCCAGCTGAGCTCCCCTCCGGGCTGGGTCCCCCCACCCTGGTCCCAGCTCATCTCCCCTCCGGGCTGGGCGCCCCCACCCTGGTCCCAGCTCAGCTCCCCTCCTGCCTGGGCTTCCCCTCTCCAGTCCCACGGCCACATGATGCTCACAGGTGTGCCTCTGCCCAGCCGCAGCCCCCGCGTCCGTGGCCGCCTCCCTCCGGGAGTCACCCCCCACAAGCGCTGTCCTCGTCGGACCCACGCGCCCCTGGGAGCCGGCTCCCAGCCGCAGGGCCACCTAGCCCCATCCTGGGTAAACGTGTGGTGGCAGGGTTCCTAGCCACACAGCGGCCTTGAAGACGGAAAGCCCCACCTCTCCGAGGCGCCCCCTGCCCCAGCCCCCACAGTCCAGGCGTTCACAAATGTTGGTTGAAAAGATAAATATTATTTACATCAGCCGCCCCCTGCACACCCGATGCCTCCTCTCCTCGCCCAGACCCTCAAGTCCTGCTGTGCTGTGGCTGGGCTGAGTGGGGGCTGGGCCAGTCCACGCTGGGGTGTCAAGCCACCCACTGGCTCTTTGTCCCAAAGCCACTCGTCCTGCCCTGGAGCACTGGGGCAGAGAGCCCCCCCCTTCTGTCTTTGCTTGATGGAGCTGCTACCCCAGAGCCTCGGAGCCAGCACCTTGGAGGCCACAGCCCTCGCTGCCCCTCAGAGGGCGCCTGGCTCTAGCGGGGCACAGCCCCCTCCCACGCCCCATCTTCTCACTGAGGGGTGACGGCTGGGGTGGGGGTGACAGGTATCAGGGTGTGAGAGTTGTCAGTGCTTGGGGGCGTGTGGCTGCGGGGAGAAAAGGCCCACGGGTGCGAGGCAGCAAGGCAGGGCGTGTCTGATGGCAGTGCCACGTGCCAGTGAGGTTCAGGCGCGGGAGACTCCTGGGGTGCGTGTGACGTCTGATGATGTCACCGGCATCTAGCGACGCCTCCAGGCTCTGATGTCGTGACCTTGGCTCCCCGTGGTGCAGGAGCCTGGCTGAGGCCGGAGGGCCCCTCTGAGGTGCTGAGGTGGCCGCGTGAGTTTCCCATGATGCCCCTGCGGTGCCCCGCCCGCCATCGCCGAGGCCGCCCCCGTGCTTGGGAGAAGACAACTCTTTGGACTCCCTAGCCGTCCATTCCACTGCGTTCCTGGTCCTGTCTCTCCGGAGCCAGAGGGGCGAGAGGGTCAACCCAGCCTATCTTCCCATGTGCCCCGCGGCCCAGGAGGCAGCTGCTCTCACAGGCCGGGGACGCCTGCTGAGCTGGGGCTGGCGGGCTGCCCAGGCGCTGCTCCCGGGGGTACAGGGTACAGGAAAAAGGGGGTCCCCTCCCGAGACTGGGTGGCCAGCTGCGCCTGGCATCATCTTCCCGACCACAGAGCTCGGGTGACCGCTCCCGGCCCAAGGCTCAGACTGCCGTGGACTGCTTGATGCTGTGGAAGCTGACCCGGGTGGGGGAGGTGGGGATGGACATGGCGCGGGCCACACGGGCGCGGATGGAGTGCTTGTCCTGCCACCGGCGCCACCGCTTCCGGATGGCAGAGCGGACCTGCGGGCACAGAGCAAAGCACGTCTTTGAGCATCCAACTCCCTCTCCCAGGGCTCCAGCAGCACCTGCACAGGTGAGCAGTACACAGGTGAGGCGCACAGGTGAGCAGCACACGGGTGAGACACGCAGGGAGACAATAGAGGTGGCAACATCCATTGTCGACGTTGCAGGTTCGCCTATCTGTTGGGATAACTCTCAAGTGTTCTGAGGATGGACTATGAGGATACTCGGAGCGAAGGAGCCTTGTGCCCTCAACCCACAGGCGCCCACTGCCCCAGGGCTGGTTCTTGCTTTTAAACAACCCATTTCACAGACTTATCCATGGGTCTGAGCAGCTCTGGCTCCTGGCCTCCATCCAGTGGCCCAGGAGAGCAAGGGGTGGGCTGGCCTCACAGGAGCAGGGCAGCTGGGACCCTCCCAGGGCCCCCAGGGGCCGTCCACAGGGACCCGGGAGCAGGGGCAGGGGAGGGCACGGGGAGGGTGGGAGGAGGCCCGGGGATCCCTCCTGCCATCCTGGCCCAGGGCCCGGCTCCTTACCTCACTGTTGAGGAAACAGTAGAACACAGACACGAAGAAACCCTGGAGTGGGGGAGCAAGCCAGTCAAGGGGCGGCCCTCACCTCCTGCGGCCTCCTGCCCCGACAAGCCTGCCCGGAGGACCCCTTCCTGGGCCGGAGCGGGAGGGTGGCCGTACCTGGAAGGACTCCAGGAAGGAGTTGAAGTAGATGAAGACGACCCGGGAGACCTCGTCCTCCCCGGGGTTCACGAAGAACAGCATGTAGGTGATGCCCAAGAGGGGCAGCAGCACCAGAGTGGCCTTCACGGCCTTCCTGGGGGGGCAGGGTCCAGAGTCACAGCCCACCCGGAGGGGTCAGGAGGGCCAGATCCGGGGGGACGGCAGGTCCCAGGAACGTCTGGGATGGGGAGCTGGGGTGTCCGGAAGACTGCCAGGCCTGGGGGAGACCCTGGGGTCTCGGAAGCCCCCGAGGGTGTGGGGGTGGGACCGTTACCTGTACTGAATGGTCTCGGACGTGGTGGACGCCCGGAGCTTGGTCATGAGGATGCGGACGATGTTGAAAAGGAAGATGAAGTTGATCTGCAAGTGGAGCACATGGTGGGGCGCCTGGGAGACAGCTGGGGACGCAGCAGTCTCAGGTCTGGTCTGGGCCCCCCCCCCCGGTCTCCCTCCATCTTCGTTAGCACCTGCTCCTCCGTGGCCGCGCACCCACCTCTAGCACTGGGGTCTCTTGGTCCGTAGCAGATTGCCCACCCCACAAAGCCCCTTCCTCCAGCCCCTCCCCAGGGTCTTACCAGCAGGACCAAGATCATGGGGCCCTGGTAGATATAGTCGGTGTACACCCCAGGCTTTTTGCCAAACCAGCACCTAGACAGACACGGGGGAGGGGGAGAGGGACGGGGGTCACTTGGATCCAGTTAAGTGGCCTGGGGGTGGGGCACATCTGGCCAGGGAAGGACAGGGGTCTGAAGTCGGGATCTAGGTCCCCCAATTCCAGCCCTGCCGGAAGGCTCCGCTCCTTGGACCCGCCGCAAGGCCTCAGTTAACCCCACCTGCAGGTCCTCCATCGTGGGGGGAAGGGCCGGAAGCAAACCTTGAGCGTAACAGACCTGGCCAGCATCACTGCTGGCCCCTGCCAGAGTGGTGCTATGGTGGGGGCAGCACAGAGCCTGGACTTAGTGGGCACCTGACCTCCATTTCCAAGTCTGCTCAGCAACCTTGAGGCAGATTCGCAGCCTCCTCCTGGGATGTTTTGCGTTTTCCTGAATCTCCCTCCAGCAAGCTCTAGGGAGGCCTGGCAGGGATGGGCACACAGGAACTCCTGTGCCCTCAGGTGGAGATGGCACGCAGCCCAGCGCCCAGCTCTCATGCTGCCAGAAACCAGAAACTGGGGTTTTTGATGTGAAGCCCTTTGGCTTCTTCAGGTCGGCAACAGATCCAAGTTTTCAAAAAGCACGAGGCAGATCGAAGCCCACAGCTGTCTCTGCAGTTGGTAACTCACACTGTTAAGGGGAAGGACGTCCTAGAGGACCTCTGCAGTCTTGTGGACTCCGCCCCTACTACAGCTTTCTCGACCCTACCCGCTCCGTGATTGGAAACTACAACTCCCAGCTGTACCAGGGAGAGAACTGCCAGGACCCAAGGGCGGAGCTAGCAGGAATTCTGGGACTTTGGGGAACAAATAGGGAGCCGTTTGTCCCCCGGTCTCTCTCTCTCTCTCACTTGCTCACTCATTCAGGCAACGGCTCTCTCGGACTGTGTGACTGGGTGCTACCAGTTAGTTTGTTACTAGAGCTTGTTACCAGCCAGTAAGATATTCTAGTCACCTTGTATCTCTCTCTTTCCCTGGGTTGTTCCTTTTCCTTTCCCCTTTTGTAAGTAAACCCATTATTGACCCTTTTGGTGTGCCTGCAGTACAGCTCAATTTTAGGAGCGCAGGTGAGGACCCACAGACAGGGCACCCCAGTGTGAACAACACCTGGCCCCCTCCTGCTGCTGTACCAGCGTCCTACCACTGGGGGGAGCTCCAGAGCCACTCGGACCTACTTCATTCCGGGGCTCAGTCTCCTTCTCCTTCCAAGGTGGGAGGGCGCAGGCACACAGGCAACACACACGCACACACACACGTGTTGCACAGGCACACACACGCACACACACACGGCAGCGCGGCAGCTTTTGGGGACCTGTTCTCTCCTTGGTTCTCACACTCACACCTGTACTCCTACTGGCTGGCACCATTGTGAGCGGTTTGCAAAGCTCCTGCTGTGGGACCCCGGGGTCTGTCTGGGCATCACTGTCAGGCCCCAGCTCTGTCTGAAAGAGGGGTCCCTCCCAGCCTGGGCACCCCGGCCGAGTGTTGAGGGGTGCCTGTGGATACCCCAGGAGCCTCTGAGCCAGCGTGGCACGACTCTGAGACCCGTGGGATCCTGTGTTAGAGTAAGTCCCACTTTTGATTAATAAACATTCACGTGGTGGTTACTGCCAGACGCCAGATACCTCTCCGAAGGCTTGACAGACACCATCTAAGAACAGTCACTGTTATGTATCAGCTCGCGTCACCCCCATGAGGAGGGAGGAGCTAGTGGGATGTCCTCTTTCCAGAAGAGGAAACCGAGGCACACCATAGGAACTAGCTCAAGGTCAGAGAGTGACTTCAAGATGGAGCCACACCTTGGAACTGGGGTCGTTTGCCTCCACAGACCGCCCCGGCCCGCTCATGGTCCTGCTGTGAAAGTCCAGACAGGTAAGAGCCTGGCTCCTACCTGCCCCGGCTCCGACAGGCACAGGGAGGGGGAGAGGGAAAGAGGCGTGCGGGGCACTGGCCCCCACCAACGGAGGGCCTGAGCGCCTGGCAACAGATGCCCGAATCTGGAGCAGCAGACGATACGCACGCACCGCAGCCCGTCTGGAGCTGGTGCTTAATTTTCTTTTATTAAATTTCCCACAGACCCGCGCTGGGAAGCCCCTGGGTAACAACAGCATCTGCAGAGCCCAGCATGGAGAGACGACAGCCTCGCTCCCGGCCCACGCGGGCGACGTGGGCAGAGCGTGCAGGGGCCTGTTGTCGTAGTACAGCTTCCCGATGGCCCAGGCCACGATGATGGGGAAGGGCACTCCTGGGGGGGCAAAGGGGGGTGACTGTCAGCCTGCGGAGGGCGTGCGGGCAGCGGCTGGGGGGCTGAGAATCTGGGGGCAGGCAAGGACTGAGGGTCACAACCAGCACCCCAGGGGCGCCCAGGGCCCCTGGGCCGAGTCTGGGGGACCCCCCTCACCCCAGCCGATGCAGATGAACATCCACTTGCGCAGCCGGTCGGTGGAGTAGGTGAGCACGATGGCCGTGTGCAGATAGCAGCCCTCGCCGAACATCCAGAAGAAGTTGGTCACGTGGAAGTAGTTGTAGGCGGCCGTCACCAGCCTGCACCAGCCCTGCCGCCCGCCCCCGCCACAGACGCAGTGAGCAGCGGCTGGGAGGGGCAGCGGAGCCCCACCCTAGGTCTGGGGCCGCCCTGCGGTACCAGGGGCCCCCCCAGCACCCTCCCCTGTCGGTGGGGCCCCAGGCCTGGCCCGGCCCTCCTCCACCACGCAGCCCTTCCCCAGCCCGCCCGCAGGACGCACGACGTTACTCTGGTGGACTTCGGGGCTCATGGTGAGCTGGACCACGAACCACGTGGCATTGCGCAGGATGAAGGCCGAGATGAGGTTCCAGTGGATGATGTTCCGCAGGCACCTGATGCTCCTGGGGTGATGGAAACCAGGAGGGGGAGAGGGATGGGCCCAGAAGTGTGGACGGGGCGCTGAGGCTCAGGCATGGCTGCTGGCTAAGTCACATGGGAGGTGGGGCCAGGGCTCTTCTTACCTGTGGCCCGCCCAGGGTGGCAGAGCCTGGCACACAGCCCAAGCTCCAGAACCAGCTCTCTTGGGCACTCTACTCCTTATAGCTCCAGTTTTGGGGGTCAGAAAGCAGCAGAGGCCTCCTAGCTTTGAGACCTGATACCCCCCAGTTCCTGGCTCACCTGCCTGGCATTGCCACTCATATCCTGGGCAGTAGTGCTGGTACCAGGCAGTTTCAAACCCAAGTGGGGTTCTGCTTCCTGGTCTCTACAAGCGGATGCCACCCTGGTGGGGGGCAGAAGTGGCCCAGCCGGAGGTGCCAAGCATCCTGGATCTGTCAGTCCCCCCGCTGAGGGGCAGGGGCCAGGCTGCCCCCCCAGAACCACCTGCCTCTGGTTCCTCCATGCTTAAGGCAACAGTGCAAGGGGCTTCCTCACCTGAGCCGCAGGAAGAGGACAAAGGCCACCAGGAGGGCCGCCAGGGAGATGCAGTGGCCCAGGTAGTTGATGATGACAGCAACGTGGTAATGGACTTTGCTCTTCTTCTGTGGCAGGAGAGAGGGCAGAGGTGAGGCTCCTGCACTGCTGTACCCGGTGTCCACTGCACAGGCGAGGCCCCGTGGCAGCCAGGACAGAGTGGTCACAGGACCGCATTAACATTAGTTAACCCCTAATGTATCTGGTCCCCGTGTGTCAGGGGCAGCCTCCAGCCCGGGCCGTGTCCTTTTGTCTGTCCTCGAGCTCTGTCCACTGCTCTGAGCAGTGGGCTCGAACCCCCTCTTCTCATAGGGTCCCCACCCCAAGGCACACACGCTTGCTCAGTGCACAGACGTGCTCACACGCCTCCAGTCTGTCCCCTGTGGTGTAGACATGGTCCCTCCACCGTCTCTCGGCAGAGCACCCCGCTTCCCGGTCATCCCTAAGTCCCACCTGCTGCAGGTGAAACCTGCCCATGCTGGCTGGGAAGGGAAGGGGTGGGGCAGCCACAGAGTCTGCAGAAAGCACAGGCAGTCTCTCCAGGCTCCAGAACACGCTCCCCGGCCCCCCCGACCCCCGGGCTCTGCTGGAGGTGAGGGGTGCTCCAGGATGCGGCCAAGCCCACTGTTCGCTCTTCCTTCACGTCCCATGCCGATGGAGGCTGGTCCCCCGCTTTCAGTCATCCCAGGCGCCCCACCCCAGGGATGAAATGGACCCATTTACAGAATACTTTCACCCCTCTTATCTTCACCCCTCAAGCAGCCACACGGGAGCACTGGGAGGGGGCTGTCGTATGTCACAGAGAAACAGGCCCCCCCTCTTCAAACTGCCTCCACCTGCAGGCCACCCCGAAGTGGGGGCACCTGTGTAGACTCCTGCCCTCTCCCCAGCAACGCCCCGTTCACTGTTTGCCCGATGCCGAGGGGCAGGGTCTGGAGAACCGCACACACAATGGGGTTCATAACTGCATGGAGAAGGAAAGAAAGTGGCTTTTGGGGAGTAACCAGCTTCGCCAAGGGGGTCCCTGTGAGCCCTCTGCTCCCTCTCCCTCAGGGGCCGGGGGCGCCAGGCCTGGCGTCACACATCACCAGTGTGGGAGAGGCCGTGGGCCTTGCTCATCTTGTCAAGGTCAGCCAAGGACTCCTGGGGCACGTGGAGCTTCCGGCCACAATGCCCCATCGAAGCCCGGCGGTGCTGGGGTCAAGGCCAGGGCTCCCCGGTCTCCGGAGGAGGAAACCAAGGGATGGGCCTCAGCACAGCACGCCTTGACCGCTGGAGAGGGGACACCCCCCTCCACCTGCCGCAAGCCCCCCGCTCCTGCTGCACCCCTTCTGCAGGAGCTCCTCCCGGGGACATCTGCGGTCCAGGGAGCTCTGTTTCAGGGGCCGGTTTTCCTGGCTCTCAGGAGCAAGGCAAGAAAGCACATTAGCAATTCAGGCTTTGGGAGGGGGAGAGGGAAAGAGGCGTGCGGGGCACTGGCCCCCACCAACGGAGGGCCTGAGCGCCTGGCAACAGATGCCCGAATCTGGAGCAGCAGACGATACGCACGCACCGCAGCCCGTCTGGAGCTGGTGCTTAATTTTCTTTTATTAAATTTCCCACAGACCCGCGCTGGGAAGCCCCTGGGTAACAACAGCATCTGCAGAGCCCAGCATGGAGAGACGACAGCCTCGCTCCCGGCCCACGCGGGCGACGTGGGCAGAGCGTGCAGGGGCCTCTGCCCGCCTGCCCTCGGCCGCCGCCTCCCTGGCTGGGGGCAGGAGTCCTTTACTAGACACCTGCTGTGCCGGGCATGTGGGCATGTGCCGGCTGTGGCCTCCTGTGTGCCGTCTGCGCTCAGGCCTCCAGCTCTTCTGGGAAGAGGCGGCATCGTCTGCCTAAGTCGCCGGCCAGCTGCCCGTCAGCCCAGGTCTACTTGGTCTTACAGACCCTCTGTTCCCTGTCCCCGCAGTGCATTTCTTGGGGGACACGCAGGATTGGAAAGAGACCCTGGGGGAAAGCACCCATGCTCTGGTGCAGGACCCTTGGAGGGAAGACAGGGGCTCAGGAGGGGTTTTCTCCGCTGAAGCCCAAAGGAGAGACTTGAGTCAAACTGCTAAGAGGAGCAAAGCCTCTCTGAGACCCTGTCAGCTGGAGGCCCAGGGTCACCTATCATTAGGGGCATTACTCATGACGTGAGTCACGGGCCCAGCCGGGCTCATGCCGCAGTGGTGGCCCTGGAAGGCAGCTGGAGAGACGCCAGTGTCTCTAGGAAAGCTGGGCAGCTGCACCGGCTGACCAGAGACAAGGGCCACTGATGCCCAGAAAGGACAGCAGTGACATCCAGGACCCCCCAGAGGCGGTCAGAAAAAGCCACATGTAGCTGCAGTGGCAGCTGGGAGGCTGCTGGACAGATGGACACAGCACATGCCTGGCCACACTGCACCGTCCAGACTGGCAGCCACCCGGGAAGGCGGCGCTGGGCAGAGGCCACCGGCTGCGCCCTCAGGACCGGAATCCAATAAGCAACCAGAGGCCGGCGGTGTGGGCCTGTCTGCGAGACAAGCCTGGTCCCCAGAGGCCTTGCGGCGGCAGAGGCGCCCCTGCCGGTCCTGGGGGCCCTCCCAGCACCCCGGCCATCCCCCTCCTATCCTGGCCATCCCACTTTGTGGCTCCTCCTCCCCACCTGGGCTTCCCGAGTCCCCCACCCCACCAGTGGGTTCTCGGCCCCTCGCTCCTTAAAATGTGGTCTTCGGCCCTCCCTGGTGGCGCAGCGGGGTAAAGCACAGCACTGAGAATCTAAAGCTGCTTCTGCATGAGTTCGATCCCCGCCTGCCCCGGAGGTGACCCACAGGGCGTGGCAGACCTCTCCTGACCCGCCCGCTGCTCCCCTCAGCAGTGTGCTTCGTCAGTCGGCCTGTTCTGCTCCCCGCTCTGTCTCTGGTGAAGCCTCTCGCCGCCCCTGAGCCTCTGGCCTGTACCCCAGTTCTGTATGCATAAATAAATGAATTTAAAAAAAAAATGTGGTCTCCACACCTGCACAGCTGGGCTCCCGGGCGCTGCATTCTTCAGGAATGCAGAATTGTACGGAAGCCTCACCTCGCCTCGCTGCCTCAGAATCTTCCTTGTAGCAAGAAACCCACGTGATTCCGGAGCATTCCAGAGGCCCTGGCCCAGCCACCTTCCCCTGTGAGCAGCGGACCCTGGCCTCCAGCGACACTGGGAGCCCCTCTCCTGTGCCTCCTGGGGTGCCCCGGGCCCCGCCCTGTGCCTCCTGGACGCACCAGGCCCCTCCCTGCACTCACAGTGTGGGGCAGGGGGCCTGTGTGCAGGGGGCAGCAGCAGGGTCCCTGGGGGTGTGCAGGGTGCTACAGTGGGGTGGTGCTGGGTGGCCGGCCCATCCCCAGACTGGGCGTGGGCCAGCCGAGCTCCCCCAGGAGGACTTCGGCCTGGCCACTGGGTGCCCCTCAAGTCCGTTTCACCTGAAAGCGGCCTGCGGCTCCATTATCTGCAGAGCGCCGGGCTCTGGGGCTTCGCAAGGGCTTAGCCGTGCGCAGAACCGCTCCGTGGGTGGGAGACTTTCCTGTCCGCGGGCTCGCGAGGAGCCTGGAAGTGTGTGTGTGTACGTGTGATACACACTGAAGAGCTGGGGGCCTGGCAGAGGGTTGGCATTTTCACTAAGTAAATGAGTGGGTCCCCAGGGTGAGGCGACAGGCCGGCAGCGGCCGTGGATGTGCAGGTGGGCATGCGGGAGGCCCCACCGAGCCTGGGCCCTGGGGACAGGGTGCCTGTGTCACCTGTGTCTCTGCCCCCACCCCCCCGCCCCCGCCCCCGGCAACTCAGGGGAGGCAGGTCATGGATGCCGGAGGCGGCGGGTGCACGGCCGTCCCCGCTTCTGCTCCAACCTAAGCCCCTTTCCTGTCGCTGACGAGGACCCTCGGCAGCCCCCTCCCCCCAGCTCCCTGTGAAGACGCTAGGGTGGTTAGGGAGCCCCAGCTTCTATCAGCCCCCCTTTGCTGTGTAACCAGACAGCAAGGTTTTGGGGGTTCCTGCACCTCTGTGCTCTGTGACCCTCTCTAGGCCATTTAGCCTCTGAGGCCAGCTTCCCTGCCTCAGCTGGCCGCCCTCCCTGGCCAGGCTGTGTCCGAGCGTCTGGCTGCCCAGACCTGCCTCTCTGAGCACAGCCCCCTGATTCCTTCCCCCCACCCCGCCTCTCTCCCTGGGCCAGGTAAGGCGCTCCACGCCCTGCCGAGTAGCCTTCCTGCCCACCCCACCCAACTGCTCCCCAACAGGGAACCCCACTTGGGGGTGTCCTCATCCACAACGCCGCGACCCAGGTGGGCTCTCTGGGTGAGCGTGTAACAGCCTGTGTTCCTGCTCAGGGCAGCGGCAGCACTAACGAGCAGGTGTCTGTTAGGCAAAACACCGCCCTGTCTCTGCAGCTTCTGGAAGGGGCCAGCAGAGCCCCCGACGTCTGAGATACCCAGGGCAGGGCGGGTGCTGGGTGGGGAGAGCTGCTCTCCATCCCCCTGACTTCACGTCAGTTCACATGGGGAACAGGCCAAGGCTATCCTGGACCCCGAAGCCCTAGGTTCCAGGCTCTGACCACGGGACCTCGGCGGAGTCATTCTCCCTTTCTGGGCCTCAGCCTCCCCATCTGTAAGGCGGGAGAGTTGCCCTAAATTAGCTTCTTGCTTTTACCCAGGGACATTTGCTAAAAATACGGATCCCCAAGTCCTCTCTGAGCGCTCCATTTACCAGGTATTTGGTGTCGCTTGGGCCTGCCTGCATGTGAACACGCACTCTGGGTGACTCTTGCTGCCAGGCAGGTTTGGAAAGCTCGGCTGGCGTGGAGGGACTCCAGGGGGTCCGTTCCCCTTGCAACCCTGTAGGTGCTGGGTTCCCAGAGCCGCCCAGACCAGCCCTCTGCCCCACACCCCAGTGCCTGCATGCCTCAGGGCGTGGGGCGCTCCCCCTTCTGCCCTCCGCTCCCTGCTCACTCATTCTTCCATCTCCCTGACCCCCACCTTGCCTGGCAGCCACTGGAGGGGTGAGTAGAGGCGCAGGGTGGGGAGCAAGGGGGTCAAGAGCGGGCCGCCACACCGGGAGGTGGACACATCCGTACATCCGCCAACCATCTCTCTTAAAGATTATTCATTGCAGCGCTGTTCACAACAGCTGAAGGCTGAAGGCAAAGGTTGGTTAAATAAACGATGGCACATCTGCACCACATGAGATTATGCAAATGCAGGAAGGAATGAGATGCTCTTTGGAGCTGATATGCACCAACCTCCAAGATGGATGCTAATATGAAAAAAGCAGGTGTCGAACAGTGTGTGCAATAGGCAACATTTGGGTAAAAATAAAATAGAAGTCAGAGACACTGCTCGGCCGTGCAGAGAAGTGTCCAGAAGAACGCCTGCGATTGGGCCAAATGTGGCCCTGGGGCGGGACCCCAGGGATGGGGCTGGCGGCCGGGGGAGGCTTTGCAGCTTCTGGATTTTGGATGACGTGCAAGGAACCTCCTCTGCTCACTTTACATAAGGGATCCCCGAGGCTTGGGTGCTGACCCGGCCCGCCGGGTCGTGAGGTGGCTGGTGTCCACTCACCCCAGTGAGCTCAGGCAGGAGGGAGGAAGGAAGCAGGACTTGGCTCCGGCCTCGGCCTCGGAGGCTGCCCTGTCCTCCCGGCTCGTCCTCCCTCGGGCGCCAGAGAGCTGAGCCCGCGGTGAGTCCGCAGCTCGCACCCCAGGCGGCTTCCCGAGGCCGGGCCTCAGGCTGTGCCGGCCTGACCCGCACACGGCCCGCTGGCCAGCCTTACCTCCTCGTGGAGGATCTCCTGGCACTCCGAGTAGTTCACGCGGGCAGCCCAGCTGCCGTTGGCCAGACACTCCCGGTAGCCATTGTCTGCAGGAGAAGAGTCGGAGAGTCCCAAAGAGCAGCCTGGGTGTCTGTCTGCCCGTTCGTCTGTCCATCTAGCCAGCCATCTGGGCCAGCACAGGGGGCTGCTGGCTGGGGTGGGGCGGGGGGAAGCTGGGGAGAGAGGTGTCCCTGAGCCCCGACCTCCCTGCCTTATTCTGCCCACCCACAGGGTAAAGCCGGCCTGATGCCTGCCCTGGGCCGCGCTCTGCCCACCCTCACCGGCGTGATGGCACACCGGGACTGGCCCTCGGCGGGCGCACTGGGGACCCCTCGCAAGCCCTGGTGCGACAGCGGGTCACATGGAGTTTCTCTCTTGAGACAGCTCCCATTTGGGGTCTTTCGTGGCAGCAGACAAGAAAGGTGGGGTGCTATGAGTCAGTTCTCAGGTGGAAGGGCAGGCCACACGAACAGTTTTCCATCCCCTGGGGACACACGGCTGTGTTTCACTGGGAGTCTCACCGGAGGGCTGGGGCCTGGGCTTGGAGAGTGGCAGGAGTCTCACTCTAGGGTCTGCTACAGCTGCTCCCAGCCTCACGGGGCACTGGGGTAAAGACAGGCGGTGGCCAGGAGAGAGGGAGGGTGGCGCAGGGCTCAGCCTGCAGCCTGGAGCCTGCCACTTTCTGAGGCGATGGAGAGGGTCTGTGGCCTGAGGCCTTGCCAAGACCCTTCCCCACCCCCTCCCGCCCACTCCCTGGGTCTCTGGGCCCTGAAACCCTGTGGGGGCGGCATTGAGGGAATTCCAAATCTTGGGCTTTCCTCCTCTGCTGGCAGAGACTGCCCGCCCCACCCTGTACCCCTCTCCAGCATGAGCGGCTTACATATGCTTCCTTAAGTTAATTCTGGCCCTGGCCCCAGACTGCACTGTCTGAGAGAGCAGTTGTGTCCTGAGCCATTTCTTCTGGAGGGCTCTCCTGCGACAGGACTTTCTGTGACACGCCCCCCCACCCCCGACCCGAATGTCACATCCCCCCCCAGCAGGACCCCAGTGCCCAGCAGGGACAGAGCGCTGATGGCAGACACAGGTGGGCAGGCGGGCCCAGCTCAGCACGGCTGGGCTGTGCATGTGACCTCAGCCAGGGCCTCTTGCCGTGTCCTCATTCATAAGGAGACAGGTTGGACCAGCTGATGTCCAGGGCCTGTGCAGACTGGCAGTCGCCTCTGTTGCAGCAAGACAAGGGGGGTGGTGTCTAGGGGAAGGGGCGCTGTGCCCCAGGGAGTGGGAGCCCTCCCTGCACCCACGGCGCAGACCTCTGCTGTGAGGCCCCGCATGCCAGAGGGAAACGAGGCTGAATGCTTCCCCGTCGTGGGCTGAGTCTCAGCAGAGTGGAGCCTGGGCAGCGTTGGCCAAGATGCTGCCCTGCTTGCTCACGGGGTTTCCAGAAAGGCTGAGGGGAGTCAGGAGCCCAGTGTCTGCACCACAGACTGGAGGCGCCTGGGCCCAGGTATCTGCAAAGGAAAGGACCTGGGGGGACGGAAGGGGTAAGCAGGGGCGTCGTGCCCTAAGAGAAGCAGCACAAAGAAGCATTAAGAGCTTCCAGCCAGACAGCCTGTGTCCAAGCCCATGGTGTGACCCTGGGCTTGACCTTGGGCAAGTCACACAACGGCTCAGCTTCCTTGTCTCAAAGAGAGGAATGATCCCCCCCCCCCCGCCACTTTTTATGGAGGTAACATTTACCAACACTGCATGGGTTGCAGGTGCACGATTTCTCACCTCAGCCACTCTGTACACTTACACCTTGACAACCGCTCCTACCTCAGTGGCTGAGGGTGTAGTTAACACGCGCGGCGTTCCTGGAATCCTACCGGCCTGTGGTGTGAGCGGTTATTTTTGTTTTGTTATTGTGTTGGAGCGGTCTTCAAGTAACCTTATGTAAGACTCAGAACATGTCACTGTGCTCCCGGGGGGCCCCAGGAGATTCCCTTTGGCTGGAGGACCCCTTCACACCTACAGGGAGAGTGGGAGGGTCGGGGGTCACACAGCAAGGGGGCTTTGGGGAGGGCAGAGGAGGAGATCCTGGAAGAAATAGGCCCCCAAAGCTGAGTGGGTTGTCAGGGAGGATGCGACCTCCTTGTCTTTAATTGCTGAGCTGAGCAGTCCTCCGGGAGAATCACAGGAAAACGGATATTTTTGGAAATGCTTCCCATTCCTTTGAAGATCAGATAGAGCGGGAGGCTGGCAGTCAGGCGAGGCCTGGGAGGCCCGGCAGCACCTCACCAGTAAATGAGTTAATTAGTGCCTGCTGATGAGGTGCGGCTTCAGTTCCCACTCGCTGCTGCATGCACAGGGTGTAATCACCCAGGCATGGGAGTCTCCAGCCCTGCCCCACGGCATGGACGGCACCCCGGCACCTCTCCTGCGATCACAGAGGGAGGTGAGCACCTCACCCAGACCTCCCACCCACCCCAGGGTGGGCAAGCAGGCCAGGGGAGGGACAGGCCAGTTGGCGC